AACATTGATACTACGGAAGTAACTAATATGACTATGATGATGGGACTAATGCAATCTATGGCACAGACAAATGGGCAATTGGCCCAACTGATCCCGACCTTAGCGCCAAGTGCCAGGCTAACGACCCATCACAACCCGGGAGACATTGATGTATCAGAAGAAAGCAAGTATTTTCGGGCTTTCAAACGTCGGGACCCCGAAGTATTCGAGGGAAAATCCAAGGACCCTGTCGTAGCTAAATTATAGTTTTCGGCTATTGATGAAATCTTTCGACACATGAAGTGTCCGGAGGAACATAGACTGAGTTGCGTGACTTATTTGTTACGCAAAGATGCTAAATTGTGGTGGCAATCAGCCTCCTGGGCGATTGCTGCAGACGAGGACGACATCACCTGGACACAGTTTAGAAAGGCATTTCTTCGAAAATACTTCAAACCAGTGGTGCGATATAAGAAGCAACGCGAATTCCTAAGCATAGAGCAGGGAGACAGGTCAGTAGAGGAGTATGAGCAAGAGTTCACCCATCTGTCCCGTTTCGCCCCATTAATGGTCTCAACGGAAGAGCTGAAAGTTGAGTGTTTTGTTATGGGTTTGCGGCCTGATATCCGAGGAGCGGTGTCAGCTCACGATCCACTTGACTACGCAACGGCACTCCGACTGGCCGAGATGCTCGATGTTAAGGAATATCCAACGGAAGACGTCCAAACCCACCCAAACACGTCAGTTGACCAGAAGAGAAAGAGAGAGCAGACATCACCTACTTCCTCAAAGGTGTCTTGGCACCAGGCTAAGACAAATTTAAACCAAGAGCGCACACAACCAAAGGCTTGCCCACAGAACACGCCACGTGACAGACCGCGTTGCTCGAACTGTGGGAGACGTCACCCAGGACAGTATCGGTTTAAGAACATGGTATGTTTCAACTGTCACCAAGAAGGCCACGTTGTCGCACACTGCACCTAAGGGAGAGTAGCTAGTACCAATAGACCCCCTGGTAACCAACTGACCTCAAACCTGAGGCTAGCTCCGCAACAGGGGCGAATGTATGCTACCACTCGTCAGGAGGCAGAAAACTCCAACATTGCAGTCACAGGTACGCTCTCTATTCTTGGGTATTAAGCACGGGTCTTATTTGGTTAAAGACTATGACGTGGAGATACTCTATCACCCGGGAAAGGCGAATGTGGTAGCTGATGCGTTGAGCCGAAAATCAGCACACACGTCTACCCTAATCACTACACAAAAAGCGTCCAGCAGCATTTGGAACGCGTCGGGGTAGCGGTGGCCATGAGGGAGTTCGCCACTCAATTGGCCCAGTTAACGATACAACCGACCTTGAGGCAACGTCTTATTCATAAACAATATGGTGATCCAGAGATTTGGTTGGAAAAAGACGTTTGATAGATGTCAATCAGACATAGGAGTTTTCATTGACAACAGATGGGGGGCTCTTGTACCATGGGCAGTTATGTGTGCCAAATGAAGAAGAACTAAAGGTAAAAATCCTAGCTGAGGCTCACCACTCGCCATTCGCCCTGCATCCTAGCAATACCAAGATGTATCAAGATTTGAAACAACATTATTGGTGGCGGAATATGAAACGTGATGTGGTCGAGTTCGTGAGCAAGTGTCTGGTTTGTCAACAAGTCAAAGCCCCAAGGCAGAAGCCGGCGGGCTATTACAACCACTTAGTGTACCTAAACGGAAGTAGGAGAACATCGCCATGGACTTTATCGTGGGATTACCGAGGACGGCCAGAGGCTACACAGTTATATGGGTTGTGGTTGATAGGCTCACAAAGTCAGCTCACTTCCTCCCAGGGAAGTCCACTTATTCCGTGGATAAATGGGCTCAGTTGTACTTGAAAGAGGTAACAAAATTGCACGGGGTACCGGTATCCATTGTGTCAGATAGGGATCCCCGTTTCACATCAAAGTTTTGGAAAAGCCTTCAGAAGGCGTTGGGTACACGGCTAGAGTTTAGTACAGCATTCCACCCACAGACGGATGGGCAAACCAAACGTTTAAACCAGATTCTGGAGGACATGTTACGGGCCTGTATGTTGGACTTTGCCAGTAGCTGGGACACACACTTGCATCTCATAGAGTTCGCTTATAACAATAGTTATCAAGCGACGTTGGGTATGGCACCTTTTGAGGCCTTATACGGGAAGAAGTGTCGATCCCCATTGTGTAGGGACGAAGTGGGAGAACGCAAGTTGTTGGGCCCCGATTTAGTGCAAGCAACTAATGAGGCTATCCAGAAAATAAGGGCTAGAATGCGTACGGCACAAAGCAGGCAAAAGAGTTATGCAGATGTGAGATGAAGATATTTGGAATTTGAGGTGGGAGACAAAGTATTCCTTAAGGTGGCTCCCATGAAAGGCGTTCTTAGGTTCGGGCGCAAAGGGAAGTTAAGCCCACGCTTCATTGGACCATTTGAGATTTTGGAGCGAGTGGGACAAGTAGCTTACCGGTTGGCCCTACCACCTATACTCTTAGGAGTTCACAATGTGTTCCATGTATCGATGTTGCGACTATACATATCTGACCCATCACATGTGATAGATTTCAAACCTCTACGGTTGGATAAGAGTTTGAATTATGAGGAGGAACCAGTGCAAATTATGAATAGAGAAGTGAAAACCCTACGTAATCGAGAGATTGCGTTGGTCAAGGTATTATGGTGGAATCACCAGCTGGAAGAAGCCACTTGGGAACGAGAGGAGGAAATGATGAGCAGATACCCTGAGCTCTTCAGAGCGGAAAGTAAGTAGCGCAAGCCTTATGTATTTAAGTGAAGCTTTCGAGGACGAAAGTTTGTTTTTGGGGGGAATATTGTAAGGCCCACGCTTTGGGCCCACAACCCAAAAATAAAAAAAAAATAATAAATAAATAAATAAATAAACCTAGGGTTCAATAGGAGGAAACCTATTACCCTAGCCACCACCCTTCCTTTTCTTTTTTTTTTTTGTTTCACGTTTCTCCCTTCAGCCACGGCCCCGCAACCGATTGTTTTCACACCGTTCCGTGCCCCTTCCCATATTAGACAACATCTGCCCAGCACCACATCGCCGCCACAAGGGAACGACATCGTCGTTGCCAAAACCGACCTCAAGAGGGTTAGACGTAGCAAAGGTTCAACCCCTACGTAGGAGGAAGGCTCAATTCGAGGGGAGTCGGATCTTCGTTGATTAGGAAAGGCCAAGAACGCAGCTCCTCAGGTAAGGGACTCGTCTGTGGAAAATAAATGTTTTGTTTTTTTGAAAATGGGTCGAACAGAATCGTCTATGGGCTAGGTGCTGGGTAATCCATTTTCCAGGAACAATCTGATCTCTGTGTGTAATATTATGTAACCTGGTTGACATGTATCCTGATTGCTATGTATTCTGATTGTCGTATATTTTGATTGTCGTATATTCTGATTGTCGTATATTCTGATGGTTGTGTAATCGAATGGTTGTGAAATCGGAGGGTTGTGTAATCAGAATGTTGTGTATTCGGATCGTAGAGAAATATGGATAGGTTAAGCAATCTGACGATATATGTCTATTGCCTACATAATGTGCTTGTAGGTAGCCATGAGTAAGGATTGTGGTAATAGTTATTCGCTGTGTGTTTCGGGTAACTAGCCACCACTAGTCACCTTTGGGGTGATTCTAGAAAAGACTATCCAGTAATGGTTAAACGCTGTGTGTATCAGGTAACCAGCCGTTGATAGTCAATGGGAGGAAATAAGGAGGTGAGGTCCTCGTGGTAATGGTTACACGCTGTGTGTTTCGGGTAACCAACTAAGAGTAACCACTTTAAGGAGTGAAAGTAGCGTTGAGGTGGTGGTGGCAATAATCACCTGCTGCGTGTTTTGGCTGATCGCCTTATGACAATTCATATGTTGACCCCCAATAGGGGAGTTCCTTACTATGTATTTTTATACTCACCTTGTTTTTTTTTTTTTTTTTAAATGATTTTTCAGGCGAAGCTGTGGCACGGAGGTGACAAGTAGGATGTCAAAGTCAGTCACGGGGCGATTTAAAAACTTTTATGTTTTTCTTGTAGTCTCATTTTTATGGGAGAGACGTTTCTGCTCTTTTGTATTAATTTAAACTATGTTGTGGATGCCTAGTTTGTGGGAACTAGGCGGCCAACATCAGACTTTTTTTGTTTTAAATAGCTTTAGGTGGTATTGTTTTGCTAAATTTTAAAGGGGTACCCCGAACGTGATTTTTAATAAAATTCTGCATGATTTTCATCCTTTTTCCAAATAAATCGCATTATCTTTCATAACGGCACTGACTGTACCGTCAGGATAAGTCGGGTCGTTACATAAGATTTTGGGGTAGAACTCAAATTCTTGTTTATTGTCCATGATGCTCAAAATTAAGGTTTCCATTAGTCTTAAGGGACTTAATTAATCTTATCGGGTGTCAAGGACTAATTCGTCCAAAATCGAGCTGTTGAGAATGTTAGGATTATATTAGATTTGATGATTTGGATTAGATTAGATTTGGTTATTTGGATTAGATTTAGTCATACCAGATTTAGTCATATCAGATTTGATTCTATAACGCTATATAATAGCCAATTTTATCATTGAATAGAATGAGAGATTTCTCCATACATTCTTAACATTTGGTATCAGAGCCTAATTGGACCTGAGAGGAGAAATACACTAATTGAGTGTTTGAGAGGAAAAACACTGAACAAATGGCAAGTGATTCAGGAAGCTTTGCTACAACATGTGTTCTTAAATTCAATGGAGACTACGAGCATTGGAGTTTGGTCATGGAAAATCTCTTGCGTTCAAAGGAATATTGAAGTGCTATTCAATCTAGTTTTGAGGAACCAAAAGGAAACGAACCACTAAGTGCAGCCCAACAAAAGGAAATCAATGAAGCAAGGCTCAAAGATCTCAGAGAAAAGAATTATCTCTTTCAATCCATTGACAAGAGTATTCTGAAAACTATCATTCAAAAGGATACTTCCAAGCAAGTGTGGAATTCAATGAAACTCAAGTACCAAGGAAATGCTAGAGTGAAGCGAGCCCAGCTACGACTTCACAGAACATTCGAAACTTTAAAGATGAAAGCAAGAGTAGGTGTTTCTGAGTATTTTTCAAGAGTTATGTCTACTGCTAATGACATGAGGAATTGCGGAGAAGATATGCCGGATGTCAAAATTGTTGAGAAAATACTTCTAAGTCTCACCAATAAATTCAACTTCGTAGTATGCTCAATTGAAGAATCCAAGGACTTTGAAATTAATAGTCGATGAATTACAGGCATCTTTGCTTGTAGATGAACAAAAGGTGATTGATAAGAGGAGTGAAGAGCAGGTTCTGCAGGTGGAGAATGTACCCAGGTATGGACAAGGAAGAGGCAAAGGGACATTGCAGAGAGGAAGAGGTTACACTAGAGGATGGGGAAGAGGTAGATCTTTTGTGAACCGGTCGGCCATCAACTGTTTTCGATGTGGAAAGCAAGGACATTATCAATTTGAATGTCCGGACTTAAAAAAAGAAGCTGTCAATTATGCTGAATTTGACAAGGAGGAAGAATTGCTATTGATGGCGTACACAGAGAAAAGTAAAGTTGAAAAAGAAGGCATTTGGTTTCTCGATTCCGGGTGCTCAAATCATATGACAGGGGACAAAACATGGTTCGTTGAGCTTGACGAAAGTTTCAAACACACTGTCAGAGTGGGAAATAGCTCAAAATTGACAGTTGAAGGAAGAGGCAGTGTCAGATTCGAAGTTGAAGGTATCACACAAACCGTGACAAATGTCTACTATGTCCCCCAATCTCACCAACAATTTGTTAAGCATAGGGCAACTACAGGATAAGCACTTGGTGATCTTTATCAAAGAAGGAACCTGCAAAATCTATCATCAACAAAGGGGCCTGATAATGAACACACAAATGATGGCGAATCGCATGTTCTCAGTTCATGCAAAGATGAAGTCATTGGTTGACAAATGTTTGAAAATAGAAGATGAAGACTTGGAGGTTCAAAATGTGGCGATGGAGGTAGCAAAAGTAGAGGAGATAAAAGAGAAGGAGGTCACATGTGACAGCAAAAAGAAGTTAGAAAAAGAAGTTAGAAGAAGATGCAGCTAGGAGATGGAAGAATTAATTCAGAAGAATGTTGAAGAAAGGCTAAACTCTGAAGAGACTAAATTAGAAATACAGAGGCGAATGGAGGAAGGACGCAAGAAGTTGTATGATGATGTTGATGTGCAGCTTGAGAAAGAGAAAGAAGCCGCTCTTACTGCTACAAGACAAAAAGAAGAACAAGCAAAAAAAAAAAAAGCTAGATAAAATGCTGGAAGAGAATAGGAGAAGGGTAGAAAAAGCTAAGCGACGATTAGCTTTGGAGCTACAGCGGAAAGAAGAAGAACTATATCGTGAGCTTGAGTTGATTCAGAGACAAAAAGAAGAGGCAGCTCGGAGAACTAAGCTAGATGGTAAGAGTTTAAGTTATGTTTTCTCTGGCTCTTTGGAAGAAGCAAGCTCTCCTAGCTCGAATAAGGCGAGGAATAAGAGACCAACAGTTTGGATGAGTGACTATGCAATAGGAGAAGATTTTTGTGAAGAAGATGATGGAGCAGTCTGGATGAGAGACTATGCGATAGGATGAGAGACTATGCGATAGGATAAGTTTTTTGTAAAGAAGATGATGAAGCTTACTCGACCATGTTTACCACTACTATACCTGTAAACTTTGAAGACACATTGATTTAAAGACGCATTGAAGAGTGAGAAATGGAGGCAACCCATGAACTTGGAGCAATAAACAGATTTGGTTATTTAGAATTGATGAAGTTACCTCAGGGTGGAAGTCAATTATGAGGTCGTAGATATTAACTGATTACTATTTGTGTTCAGTTCAAGGGAGGGATTGTTAGGGTTAGATGTAGATATAAACTGATTACTATTTCTGTTGGGAGGGATTGTTAGGATTTATTTCTGTTGGGAGGGATTGTTAGGATTAGATTAGATTTGGTTATTTGGATTAGATTAGATTAGGTAGACTGATTAGTTGGGAGGGATTGTTAGGATTAGATTAGATTAGATATGGTTATTGGATTAGATTAGATTTGGTTACTTGATTAGATTTTATTTAGTTATTTGAATTAGATTTAGTCATACCAGGTCGTATCGGATTTGATTATGTAACGTTATATAATAGCCAATTTTATCATTGAAGAGAATGAAAGATTTCTCCATCCATCCTTAATGGAGAAGGATCCAACTTTACATTCTAAGTTGAGTTGCAGACCGAAGTGAAAATTTGAGAAATTGGCTACATTCGCGCCAAATCGCTCGTCCAAGTCTATTCCTCTAGTTGGAGAGAAGTATAAAGAGAAATTCTTGCGAAGGAAACGTGGCCTAAGAGCCCCTCATTAGTCTTAATAACAAAAATTCCTTTGGGTTTGCTTTTACGAAAAATTGAGTTTTCAACCAACTTTGAAAGCCGATAACTTATCCTATAACCCACAAAAAGGTAAGGTATCTTTTAAGTTTCATGAAGGAATTGAAAGGAGAAATGCCCTAAAATGGGTTGGGGAGAGCTATTTTGGCGGTGGTGACTGGGCGTGCATGTTTTCCTCTACTAGAGGAAGAAGACGATGATGTGGCCGGTTCAACCGAACCGGCCACCTCAACCCAGAAGTCTGTCTCTCCTTGGTTTTTCATCCAAATTGAGCCCTTTTTTAAGGGTTTCTCGTAACATTCTCAATGGTTCCAAAAACTAAACTCCCTAAATAAGTTGTCAAAGAAAATTTAGATAAAACGAGCACCGAAAGCTTGAGGAACGAGATTCCAAATACAAGACAAAAGGTAAGTAGCCATGTTGAACTTTTCTAACAAAATAGTTGTAAGAATCACTTGGATTTCAATAAAATCCTTCAGTTAAGTGTCAATTAATGATACATGAAAGAAAAATATTAGAAACCGTGAGTTAAGGACCCAAAACCGAACATTTTGCTCAAGTGATGTTAAGATGACTCTGAAAAGAGTACTACAAAACTTCAGAACTGGGCATAATACGGTAAACCTACACCAATTCAGACCCCTATATTAGGCTTCGGAGCTGATTTTTAGTCTCTGACTTCCTCAATAATACCTCAACCAACATCTTCTTTTCTCTCTTTTCCTTTTCTTGCGTTCTTTCTTTCTTTCTTTTTATTCAACAATTCAGATTTCTTTCTTTTTATTCAACAAGTCAGACCCCTGTCTAGACAACTTTCTATGACTTATAATAAAATCTGGAGAGTTTCAATTTAAAGAAAAAAATGAGTTTTTAAATTTCTTTTCCATGCTCGAGTGTTACAAGTTAGAATAATCCCTATAACATCCCTATAATTGGATAAAAATTTAAGTAATCTTCCTAATCTGATCAAATCTAAAAAAATAGTCCCTACTTTTAACAAACTATAAGAACTTAGTCTAACATTTTAAACCATAGAAAGTACATTTTATAAATTTGTAATTTATTCAAAAATAAAATCACAAATACATAATTATGATAAAGATAATGTAGAATTTTCCAGAATAAAAATTTAAAAATTCAAAAGAAAGAAGACTGCAAAAATTTAAAAATTCTCTGAAAAATGACATTGGTGAAGTATTGATTTCAAAACATACAATTAGGCTTAATTTCTCCAAGTACTCGGTATTTACTAAAACTGGCAAGTTTGAAATTCTTAAAAATAAATTATTAAGATTTATATCATAGAACGAAATTTCAGAACCTGATATTGTTAACTTTAGGCAATAGAAAGCAATGGCCTACCATGATTTTGAATAATTGGTTAAGAAGAACACCAACCACCACAAATGCCTGGGGGGTCACTTTTTCGCCCCTGGCACCATTTCCATCAAATCAACGTCGCCGTCGCCGACAATACCACCAGAGTTGGCAAATCCCAATTGACAAAGCAAAAAAGATGATATCTAAATATAAAGAGAGGTGTAGGTTCATTGGTTTTGGCAGGCTTAGGCTTAGGCTTTAAATGGCCTCAAGACCCTGCAGAATATCGGCCTTCAAATCCTCAAACTCTTCAATTCCAATGCTGAACCGCACCAAATTGTCCTTTATCCCATACTTGAGCCTCTCTGTTTGGTTAAGATCCCTATTTCATTTCCATCACCAAAAACTTAATTACTTCCGCCACCCACATACTAAATAAATGTGTTTAACGAAAGTTCAGAATTGGATATTTACCAATATGACATTATTGCTGGCTGGTCTATGATACTCTCGCACCCACCAAATGATGGAGCAATATATGGAATTTTTAATGAATCAATGAATTTTATGGTGGTCGTTAAATCCCCATCAACCTGCACACCAGAATGAACAAATTCGTGAACTAAACCTAAGCCTAAACCTAGCAGAGTAAAAGGGTTTTGTCATTTTCTAACCTCGAAACTAACTACGCCCCCGAAACCACTCATCTGTCTTTTGGCAAGATTATGCTCAGGATGACTTGGTAACCCAGGGTAGTAAACACATTTGATCTGCATAATGTCACATTGTATAAGGTAAAAGAATTCACAACCACGTGATTAAATCCAGTTAATGAATAAGTTTGATTAATGAGATTAACTCAGTTTGAATATGCTACTACATCTGCTAATTTCTCAACACGTGTATGAGTCTGAGTCGTATACTCTACTATCAGATGCCTCAAAAGCATCAATAATTAAACTACTATTGTTCCCTTGCACCGCCGTGGTTAATATTAGGTAGTAAATTAAACGTACGAAACAATATGCAGTTGTGTTTTTCCTTGTAATAAAGCACTGCAGCTTGATAAATTAAATTGCATACCTTAGGATGAGCCTCTAAAAGCTTTGCCATCCTCAAAGCTGAGGAATTCTGCTGCTGAACACGAAGATGCAATGTCTTCATGCCTCGTATAAGTAAGTATGCAGCATTCTGTAAGATGAAGATATCAGAATTAATTAGACAGCAAGGCTTGACAAGAAAAAAAAAAAAAAAAAAAAAATCGA